CAGCGCGCGCCACTCGCCCGTGGGGGCCGCCGCCTCGGGCGCCAAGGCCGGCCCACCCTCGGGGCAGCCCGCCCCCTCGGGGGCCACCCAGGACCAGGAGCTGTTGGCGAAGCCCGAGCCGAAGAGGCGCAAGCGGAAGGTGGCCTCCGGCGCGGCCCGCACCTCCCCTCCGCTCGCCCACCCCGCGCCCGCGGCCCTGTCCTCCTCCAGACAGACACCCAGCACTCGCGGGCCCGGCGCCGCCTCCCCGGCGGCGTTGCCCAGGCAGAACGCAGCGAGCAACCAGCCTAGCCGACCCGCCGCCGCCGCCGCCGCCGCCATCGCCTGCTGCCCCCTCTCGGCGTCCCGTGCAGCCTACCCCGCCGCCTCCCCCGGCCAATCGTCGCCAGCCTGGGCGCCTCCTCCGCCAATAGGCGGCTGGCGGGGGCGGGCCCCAGGGTCGGACTAGGCTGCGCCGGGGAGTAAACAAGCGGCGGCGCGATCCCGGGGCGGGCCGGGGGCGTGGGGCTCTCGGCCCCGCGGGGCTCGGCTGCGGCTGCTGGGGCGAGAGGTGGCCTCGGACAAGAGGACGCAGAGCGGCGAGCTGGGCCGCCTCCGCGGGCGTCTGGTCCCCGCGGGCCGTCCCCGCGCGCCGGCGGCCGGGCTCGTGCTCTGGGAAGTCCCTGGCTGGGGACTGCGGGCGCCGAGCGGAGCGGCTTGCAGAAAGAGATTCCAGTGTCCGGGAGACACTCTGTTTTCTTAGGGCAGGGCCCCTTGAGCCACTGACCTAAAGAGCAGGGCGGGCTGGAAGAAGGACCGGTGACTGGGCGTCGGGAAGCTAAGGATGATTGAAGATGCTTGTTGACCGTGCCCCACTCTGCTGTAGGTCTGGAGACCTGGGGACGTGAGACACCGCCCCTGCCTTCAAGGAACCTGCGTTCCTGCCGGGGAGGATGGTGAATATGTAAACGCGCGAAATCACGACGTCATTGGATCCTCGCAGCAACTTCGTGTTATTAATATTTTACGGGAGAAAAGGTGAAGCATGACTCGGCATGGATGCTGGATTACAACGCGACCTAATACCCTCGTCACCATCCCAGCCCCATTAGGAGACGGCAGCTCTGTCAGGAATTACTGTGTCTGGTCGCTCCACTTCTAGCAGATCATCCTTGGGAAAATAACTCCACAGGACCAACAAGAACTCTTCAAGAGACTCCTCATCGGAGAGTTATTTTAGAAGACAATATGGTCCGTTGACAGTGTGGAATTTCTTTTACCCATTATATATGATCTTTATGTGGCTGGAAGGAAATAGACAAACTGCTAACAAGGCTTCTCTATGGGTGTCCAGATTAACTGTTTTTTTGTATTTTCTTTACACTTTTATGTATTTTCAAATTTCCTAACATAAGTAGACCTTGATAAGACTTCATACACATCATTTACAACGATCTGTGTAAGGATTCTGTAGAAACACATTTGCTATGTCATGAAAATAATATAAAAGACTATAGGCACTGTGGCCACAAGGAAAACGTTTGTGTGGAAGGTAATGTGCCAAAATGAATAAACCCATGGTGAATGACCAAAAGAAAAAATTTCTTGTGAAAAACTCTTAAAAGGATGGCAATAGTGTCTCTTCTACACTGTAAACTCAGCACGGTGACTAGACCAGCCACATCTCCGTGTTTCCAGTTTTTATACCCCAGATGGTGCTACACCCTTTGAGTAGTGTGCCTTAACTTGCAGATTACAGAATAAGCCATCAGCAGAAGCAGTTATGACACCACTGAGCCTTTCCACTGGATCAGCATGTCTCCTTTGAAGAAGAAAATAACGGATTCAGCCCCTTTAGTTCTCACTTGTGTCTCCAAATCTAGATAAAATGCTGACATTGAGATAGAATGGATCACAGGCTTGAAAGGAGTCATGTGCCTGAAAAGTTACTAACTAGCCAAGAACAGTTCCAGAGGAAAGACAGGAAAACTCCCTATGGATTTAGACAGGGCTCTGACCTTTGACAAGTTATGTTTTCCTTGGTCTCAGGCTCCCTTGGAAAACAACCTATACCTTGTTTTTTGGGGAAAAGCTTGGAGTAGAAGAACAATTGGGTCACATTTGGAAAACACAAATGGTCATTAAACTGTCCATACTCAAGGACAAAGAATCCAGTACAGGGCAAACCAAGCTGCGTGCAGAGTGACTTTCCAACAATAGAGGCCTCAACAGTACTTCACCAGCCTTCTTCCTTGGCTCTGTGCCATTCTTTGCCCCATCCCCTGGTTAGTCACAGCATCAATGGAGACACTTGCCACTTGACCTTCAGGTCCCTCGTTGACCCTCCCTGGGCCATTTTCAGTACTGGTCATTTGGTTCAAGACATTTCCATGTTTTATCTAAATATTTATTCTTTTTTTTTTTCCCCCAAAGCCCAGCAGATAGTTGCATGTCATAGCTGCACATCCCTCCAGGTGCTGCACCTGGGACGCGGCCCCAGCATGGCCGGAGAAGCGGCGCGTTGGCATGCGCCCAGAATCCGAACCCGGGCCGCCAGCAGCGGAGCGCGCGCACCCAACCGCCAAGCCACGGAGCCGGCCCCTATTCTTGAGTTTTAAACCCATAACTATTGTGTGTGACTTCACTGGCTCATTCCTGCTTATCAAGTCTGCAAACGTTACTTCCTCTAGCTGGTCTCCCTCGACCATCTTGCCTAGGTTGGGTCAAGGTTATGGGAGCTACGTGCTCCTCCCCAGTAGTATTCAGTACTTACCTTATTGTAAGACCCATTCACTCATTCATTCAACAACTATTTCCTGCATTGAGTGCCTGCCATGTACCAGGTACTGTTCTAGCGCTGGGACTACGTGGGAATAAGAAAGTCCCCCCCCCGAAGCTTAGGTTCTAGTGTGGGGACAACAGAAAATACATAAATCTGTGTTTTAATATCTGGCAATAAGTGCTATGGAGAAAAACAAGGCAAGATATGGGGACAGACAGAGGGATTAGGGCCATGCTGTTTTAGATGGGGTGACCAGGGAAGGCTTCTCCAAGGAGGTGACATTTGATCAGAGGCTTAGATGAAGTGAAGGGGTGAGGTTCACCAAGACCTGGGAGGAGTGTTCCAGGTGTAGGAGACAGCAAATCGAAAGGTCCTTGCGTGACTGTCTCCCTCAGAGGGGTCTTCCTCACTGGGCTTATTGAGGGGTTGGGGTCACCTCGAGTATAGCCGTGGAACAGGTAGATGGATGAAACTGACTCTTGCCCACCGATACACAAGCTTCTGCGTGAGTTATTCCTTTTGTCTGGAATGTCCTCTCTCTGCCTATACAAGCACCTCCCTTTCTGTAAACATTCCCCCCAATCTGCCTGCTCTGTTAAACCTGGCTTGCCTGAGCCCGTGGCCGTGGCACCTGTGGGCAGCGCAGGAGTCTGCACAGCTGAAACCTCAGAGTGGAAGCAGTGAGGTCGCTCTCGGGCGGCTCTTCAGGGGAGGAGCGCTCCCACTTTGACACCACAGCCTGCCCATGAGTACGGACAAAAGGCAACTGCATGTTAGAAAACGTGATCACACTTTCGGATCAAGCTCCTTTCTCCTCCAGCCCCCAGGGGGAGAGAGAGGAATTTGCCCATGCCAACTGCTCCCTCCAGTTCCTGCGGGCAGAAGACCCCATGGCATCCATTTTACAGGATTCCTGAATGCGGCAGTTGAGCACATTTGCCCTGTATGTCTCATAGCAGCTGGCACGCTCTAGCTCCTGTGACAACAGCCTTGATTATATAATTTTGTAAATAACATTTCTGCTTCCTTTTCACTGTTAAACAGTCCCAGAATACCTCTCTCTTGCCCTGTCACAGGTGACAGCCAACCACAGCCACTTCCATCTCTATGACAGGCAGTGAGTATTGACAGAACTCGAACAGTCAAATGGCAGACTCACCAAGATTTCGTATCTCATTTTTTATTACCAATCAAAAATAAATTCCATATATTGTTTAGCAAATATTATCATTGTTTTGTGACAAAAGACACAAGAGTCATAACAACAAAACTCCCCGAGAGTCAAACTCATAACAATGCCAAAATAAATCACAAAAATATACAAATTAAAATCTTATGCAAAATAAATACGAGTTATTTGCTACGGTGGCTGTGACTTGCCTACCCATTTGGAGGCCATTTGCGAAGGTCTCCCTTACACAGGAAGACGCGCAAGGAGGGCCAGCTTCAGGGCACGGCTCAGCCCAGGAACCAGAGGTTGGAATAGGAAGTGACAAATTGCACTGGGAGGAGGAAGTCATCGGACCAGTAATATTTGGAAATAATTATGACCCTCTGCAAGAAGTGATTATAAAAGGGGAAGGGAGGAGAGGAGGGACCATCTGTCGATAGTAACTGTGCAAAGAGGTAGCTGTGGAAGTGTGTGCACCTGCTTTTACTTCACACACACTCCCCTGGTTCAGGCCAACGTGGTGTGCTCCACCTGGCACTCAGGTCTCTCAGGAACACAGCTTTGCAAGCTCCTGTGTGGACTCAGAAAGCAAGCTGCTCCTGTAGAAAACTAAGGGGTTTCCCCCAACAGGGAACAAAGGTCTGGTGTGTTTTTTCCTTATGGCTGAGGACCTATGGGTGTCACCACTTTCTCTCCAGACTTTAGGAATAAATTCTGTGACTGGGGAAAACTTTCAACTGGCCGGGGGCAGGCATACTTGGTGCAAGACATTTCCTGGTCCCAAGAGTTAGGACTCTCTGGGCACCTGAAGAGCAAGCACCTGGGCTGACAGACGCACTGGTGGAGGAGTGAATCCATCACACTCAGGCGGAAGGAGTGCCGAGTCTCCCTCGCCTGATCTCGGGCCCCAGCAACTGTTCCACCCAACAAAAGGGCCAGCACGGACCTTGGTCCCACAGCCTCCCCAACAGTAGGAAGCCTGGAGCTCTGCAGCAGGGCCTGATTCAACCCCCGGGAAAGGGCGCTGGGGCAGGACTTCACGTGGGTGGAGCTCGTAGGGTCCAGTACCACTAGCTTCAGCAAAGGCCAGGATGACATCTCACACTAGGATTACACAGTCACAGGGGAAACGGAGCTGCCAGCTGTGTACTTTTCAGTGAAAACCTCCTTTCCTGGGTTCTGTAAGTGTGTGAACAAGGTCAGGTGAGCCTCAGCCAGAGGAAAGAGCATGAAGAACCTGCTTAGGTTGGCTTCCTACATGTCCTCTTGTCCTCCATCCCCAAGAGGCATTAGGGTTTTTGGATGAAAAGTAGGGAGTCTGGAAAGAAGGGGTCTATGGGTCAGTGATTGAGACTTGACTTTCATTGTGGGGTGGGAGGGGGATGATATTAATTGCCAGCAACGCAGATGCCCATGACCAGGTTCCCTCCTGGAACCAAAAGGAGTATCCTAGACAATTCACCTCTAACGTAGATGCTCTCCCCACCTAGGGGCAAACCTCTGGTAAAAGTGAGGGCAGGGCCCGGGGAGCAGGGGTAAGCAATCTTAAAGGTGTGAGACTCTGCCTAATGCTTTGAGTCAGCCCTATTACAAGGGGAGAGTTGTCCAAACGGGCAGATATGAAGCAAACCAGTGGGGAGGGGGATGAGAGTCCTCAGCCTAGCCCCAACTCACCAGGAGAGCACATCAGCAGAGTTCTAGGAAATTCCTGGATCCAGCGATTGACAGGAGTAGGTGTGCTCCTCTCTGTAGCTGGGAGTATCATGTCCCTGATCACAACTACCCAGAATCCCTTGGCCTCAGCGATGTCAGACAGCCTCAGTGCACGTGTCCAGGCAGTTGTTCTCAGTGCTATTTCGTTCTTTGCTTCCTGGAAGAACTGTCTTCCTCCCAAGAGAAAACCTTTCTCCAGTGGGTCTCTGGGATCCCATCTCTGGAGGAGGAGAAGGAGGAAGAGTGGGCTCCCTGAGTCAGGGACACAAGCCAGAAGGTCATGGCTGGGAGCAGATTATGGCTATTGCTTCCTGGGGTGAGAAACCCTACCCCTTTTACAGTTTTTGTGGAAAATAAAAATTTAAAGTTCCTTAACCCTGTCTTCCCTTCCCCAAATGATATTTAAAAAGAGGAGCAATGAGCTTAGTTCAGAAATTCTCTCAGTAAAAAACAGCCTTGCTCACAGTAGCTGGCCTCCTGCCCTACCAGTCCAGGGCCAGGCAGCTGCCACCTCAGAGCTGTTCAGAGGTCCTGTCAGAGGCCGGGTCCCCCACGGGATGGGGGCCATCTGGCTGCTCAGTAAAACAGGGTATCTGCACCCCTTCTGGCCTAACAGGCTCCCTATCTTCATGTGGGCCCACTGGGGAGGCCCCCGCAGGGCTGGCGGGGGGCCCCGGGCCCTCCTGTCAGATGGCACTCTCGTGCGAGGCTTTGTGCAGCAAGGAATTACGCTCGTTGAGGAGAGTTGTGGTCTCGTCCACCACAGGCAGCTCGGGCTTCTCTGCCAAGTTCTCTGTGCACATGGTGCAGCCATCCAGGGGAAACTGAGGGCAGTTCTCCATCCGTGAAGCCAGCAGCCCATTCTGGTACTGTTGCCGGGTGATCTGCAGGAGGAAGGGGTGCGGTTCACAGAGAGCAGGAACTGGGAGGCCAGCCCCACCACAGACCTGGGGACACAGGGCCGGCCGGGATGGAGGCTGCGTGTCCAGAAGAGAGGACGTAACCAGGTGGAGTCTCCAGAAGCCCAGAGAAAGGGGAAGAGTAAGAAGGACACGCATGTTAGGTCTGGGCCCTCCGTGCTGGGTGTGGTGGAGGAAAGAAAGAAGTTGCTGGTTCCTCAGGCAGAGTGATCCAAACGGCCAAGACGAGGACGCCGGCACCCACCAGACAGAGGGCTGCGGGAAGCACTCACCTTAATGTACTGGAGGTCCATGAGCGCGCGGACACTGAAGTCAGAGATGTACTGGCCCAGGATGGAGCTGCCAAACTGGTTGCTGCTGCCTGCCAAGGGAGCTGTGCTGGAGGCATCCGTGCGGTCGGGGTAACTGAGGGAGGCTGAGCGACTAAGGGTGGTGGAGTGGGAGGGGGAGCGGTCTGTGGAGAGAGAGAGAGGCTGTCAGGCCAGGAGCCGCCCTGGTGCCCCTCAGCCCACGGACGCCCAGCGAGGGGTGCCCCCACCAGGACCGGGAACAGCTCTCAGGGACAAACAGAAGCTCTAACAACAGAAGAGCTGACCCCATCAAAGCAAGTGAGTTAGTGTGTTGAGAAGTGTTGTGTGACATTAAAAAGTCTATTGAACAAACAAAACAGAAAACAAAAACCAAAGACACAGAAGGTTTATGGCTACAAAACCCCTCATGTCCACAACAACTGGCCAGTCAAGGGCAACAGGATGATTATGCTAGCATGGCAGACGAGGCGCTATCCTTGTCCCAATAACAGCTGGTGTCAAGGGACACAAACTGCGTACTTTTAAATTACATCAAAAGGAAGAATATACACCTGGTAGTCTCCCACTACGCACACACACACACCCCTCAACATGACACCCTGTTCACATCTTAAAATGCTCTGAAGAGGTCAAAGGTGTGTTCTGCACATGACTTATTCTGTGTGGAACAGTCCCACCCACTCGTGTCTGATGAGACGTCGGCCCATCTGCCAGGGGGACGGGGGCAGCAGGTTCCTCTCACGGGACCCGAGAGGCCCCAGAGCTCCAGGCTGCCCACTCCAGCGTTTTCTTGGAGCTCGTCCAAGTCCCCCTCCCATGAGGCAAAGCCTGGTATCATGGTGGCGGCACCTCTGCCCACCACTAGGGGCAGCACAGGCCTCCATTCAGCTGACTGTAACCAGCAAAGGGGAATGACTCAACCTCAAATGAGGAAGGAACAGGCTCCTTATCTTGAAAAAGGAACTGCACATATTATTGTACATCGTTAGCTCCTATTTTTGAGAACACTTAGAAAACAACGACATGCACGAAGAAGTTAATTGTGAAGGCAGGCTGGCTGGTTTTAAACCAACAGGAAGTGGATTAAGCTGATTTGCTTAAACTACTAAGTTACTAACTACTAAGTTAGCTATTCTAACAAATAGCCCAGTGAAGAGAGCAAACATATTGAATCCAGGTGACTGAACGACCAGTATAGCTTTAACTACGTGAGACTGAGCTGAGCAATACTCTGTCTCTGAGCTTCATTCATAAAACTAGGACAATACAGTCTGGACATTCTACGATTGGGGAGTGCAGAATCATTAAAGGATCACGTGCATGTAACACTTATTCTAACTTAACACCTCTGATTAACTTGTAGGAAAAAACAGCAATACTAGGGCTATTACTTAATACTTCAAATTAATTATTTGGATGACGGAATGCTTTCAATGAATGCTTATTAACACTCCAGAAACAGGAAGTGAATTTAAAACCAACGTAAATTAGTAACATGACCTATTACAAATAGAGGTCCTAGAAGGAAATACACCAAAATATGAAGCGTTTGTTTCTGAATAATGAAATTATGATGCTTCTTAATTTTCTTCAGACTTTTTTCTATTTTCCCAATTTTCTAAATAAACTGTTACTTTTATGATTAAAACAAAACAATAAATGTAACAAAAAAAATAGGGATTTTTGACTTGGTAATTCTATTTCTGAAAGAATATTCTATGGACATAATCTTAAACACAGATAAAGTTTTTTCATAAAGAGGGTTACATCATGGTGTTATTTAGAATATAGACGCTGTGAATATGCATAAGGAGGGAAATAACAAATGAAGGCACACCTGCTTGGTGGAACACAGTGTGGCTCTCACTAGACAGCTTATGAAAAGCGTCTCTGTTCCCACATTAGGTAAAAACATCAGGATTCAACCCACGTGTGCATAAACCCAGCCACACAAAGAGAGGAGAGTGAGGCTGAGGTGCTGGCCAGTGAAAGCCAACACGGTCCCCTCTGTTCCCATCAGACGACCCTGCTCCAAGACCACTCACAGCTCCTACTTCCTCTCACAGCCAAAAGCTGGTTGTGTTTGAAAGGGACAAGTGACTTTTAAGTCATCTTTTTACTACTACTTTTTTTTTTTTTAAAGAGGACAACAGAAAAGTTTGCGTTGGTACATTTAAGAAGGAAAACACGCAGCTGTACGAAACAGCCCAGTGAGGTGGCAGGTTTTTAGCACTGTGAAGGGGCCTCAGGAGCTTTTTCAGTCACACACTGAGACTGCAGCTCCAAGACACTCGTAATGAACATTCTTACGCTCCTCCGGGCTCTCCTGCCCAGGCCAGAATTCTGGCGATGAGACCAGCACCTTCTGCCACTCGCTGCTGCCTCATTTTCTGTGGGATGGGAATCCCTCAAATTGAATGAATCTGGCCAACACAGCTGCCACCAATCCTGGGACAGGGCTCAGGAGTGTGACATACCAAAGGCCAGAAACACCATATGGTCTTTGACCTTTTCCTAAACACTTTCTGATTGGCATGTCACATTTTAGTTGTAAGAGAGAAAAAACAGAAATAGTAATTGAGCTCTAACTAAACATTTTATATCAATTCTCTCACTTACTGCTCCTAACAATTCTAAGAAATGGGCACATGCATTGTTCCCATTTCACACGAGGAAACCAACACTGAGAAAGGGTAAGTTGGCTCCCCAGAATCATAATCATTCAGCTAGAAACTGTGCGGACAGCATCCAAACAGGGCACTTCTAACTGCCCAGCTGCCGCCTCCCCCTGGCAGGCAGACACCAGCAGCAACAGAAGGAAAAGCAAAGCTTGTGAGGAAAAGTGGAAAGTGTTTTAGAGCAAGCTGACGAGATGACAAGTTGTCCTCTGAGGTCTGCGAGTAGACTTGATCGGGGGTGCTGAACCACTGGGCTCACCTGGCCTGGCCGGGAGCAACCCTGCATTCCCAGCGTATCATCTGCAGGAGGGTGTGTGTGTGGGTGTAGCTGTGTGTGTGTGTGTAGGTGCGTGTGTCTTCTCAAGGACTGAAAGACCTTTGGGGAAGCCCTTCCAGGACCAGGACAAGGCCACCCAGTCACTGGGCCCTAGGCCAAGCAAAGCCAGAGCAAATCAGGCTGGCCCACGAGTGTGAACAGGTGGGATGCCCCCAGGTGTGTATGGGGAGCCCCAGTGCCTGCTGGGAGAGGTTAATGCAGCTGTGGTGTGCGGGCCCAGGCGACAGGTGGCACTGCAGACTTCTCCAGCCGTGCCATGTTACCTGAGAGCCAGGAGAGCAGGGAGTTCCGCTTGCCAGGCGGACACCCGACCTGGGTGGAAGGCACTGGAGCAAAAGAGTAAAAGGTCAGTGACGGCGGGGTCAGGGGACAGGACGTGGGGCACAGGAACAGAGTGGAGGAGCAGACCCGCTGGGGGCCAGGCCCCGTCGGGCAGAGAGGGGAGAGTGCCCGGGGCAGACCAACGAGACCTGCTCCGAGAAGGGCAGAAGCTGGCAGGGTGGACCCAGAGCTCACATGGTGGTTCTGGAGCTCCCCGAAAGTCATTTCCCCTCCCTTCCAGCCACTCCAAGTGGGCACTGAGGGCCATCAGGTCAAGGGACAGAGCCCAGGATCCTGACCCAGGCCTCTGAGGCATCACTGCAGAGAAAGAATGCCTGGAGGAAATGTCCCATGACCGTTGCCCTTCTGAACTAGATTTCCCCAAGCGGTGCTCAAGAGGTGCTCCCGGGAGGGGCAGAGAAGTCCTCTCCAGGCCTGCAGTGTCCGGGCAGGGTCCGCCTGCTCTAAAACCCAGCTCTGGAGCCTTGTCTCCCCACTCCCTCCCTGCAACAGTCCTGGCTCACGCTGGTGGAGGGCAGAGAGGACGCCAGTGTGTGAGCTGAGTGCTGTCAATACACATGGGTGCCTGGCCCCCAGCACGGGGTCCTCTTTCTCAACGGACAGCAACAGGCACGGCACACCGGCTCCCAGGAGCTGCAGCAGCCCCTCACCGTGTGGCCCATCCCTCAGCACCAAAGCGGACTTTCACTCTCCAGCCCGCAGCAACATGGGGACCCTCTCAAGGCATGGAGGGGTGACACAACTAGCAGGGAGCCCCTCAGGACTGGAGAAGCAGAGGGCACTGGGGTGGCCAGAGTGGCCCTTCCCTGGACTTCCCACAACCTCTATGGGAGGGTGTCCAGTCCCTTCTTTGCCCCCAAGTCCCTTTATTCCATCAGAACTGAACCTTAACCAAATGGCAGTGGCTAAGCCCCCCGAAAAGCCAAACCCACCTGCAACTTGCCCAGCAAACAGCCCCTGGCCTGGCTCCACCCACGGGCACTGTGGACCCCCGGCCCCCACTCGGCAGTTCCCCCGTCCCAGCCTCCACGAGCAGGGCCTGCAGCCCCTCCACTGCCTCTTTCTCTCGACTCTTCCCGCTGTTCCGGCCAGTGAGGCACCACGGCCTGCTCGCCCGGCTGGTCCATTCTGCTACTGTACTTCCCTCTGCTCAAAACCATTCGCCACTTCCTGCTTCCTCTCACAACCAAACACCACCGATCTTCTGGGGCTCCCCGACACGTCCTCATTCCCCACGGTCTTCCTCCCATCTGGCAGGCTGGTCCCACCATCTCAGGACACACTCTCGGCTCCCTCCAGGCCTTTGCTCAGAATCCCCTTCCCATCACCTCCCCTCCACCCTCTGACTCCTGTCCAAGCGGGCAAGTCACTGTTCTTCCAGGCCACCTCCTCGGGGCCCTGGCAGCTCCAGCCCTCACTGGCCTCCCTCTCCCCCGAGCCACCTAGGGTATGAGCCATCTCGACTGCCCTAAGTTCTGGGCTGCCAGTCAATGTCTCTGCCCAGTGCGGCCCGGTGACTCACCAGAGGGCGACGAGGACAAGGCCATGGTCCCGTAGTAGGAGAAGGCGCCCGTCTCAAACTTCATGTTCTCTTTCCCAGCCTCCACCTCCACCTTCCCCTGAAAGAACACGGGGTCACGGTTACAAACGGAAACACACAACTGGGGAGAAGAGGAGGAGGCAAGAGGCAGAGGTGAGGAGCGACTGGGACTGTGGGCCACACGAGGAGGAGCTGGTCCTGAGGCCTGCAGGGCTCAGGGGCCCCGCCTGGGGGCCTCACAGGAAGAGGACGGGCAACAGGGGGCAGAGGCTCAGGGCAGGCTGCGCTCCCCTCAGCAGGCGAGGAGGGGAGAGTGGGCACAGGAGGGCAGCTCACCTGCAGGATGAGGATGAAGTAGTCAGCTGGCTTATTTCGGGTGTACAGGTAATGGCGGGCGTAATACTTGTTGTGCTCATCAAACTTGAGCTCCTGAATGACGTCTGGGTACTTGAGCAGCCGAAGTAGGATTTTCTCTGATATCAGAGATGGGCTAAACTGGGGAACCTCTGCAGGAGGAGAGAGGAGGGCTTCACATGGAGCCTGGGCCAGGCGGGGCCTGGAACATGGTCACTGCTGCCTGGGACGGCTCCCTCACCAGCCAGGCCCTTCCCTTCGGCTCGGCACCTCCCTGGAGGGGAAGCGCCCTTGGCTCTGGGCTGGTTGGACTCCAGTCTGTCTGCCTGCCTGGGCTTGAATGGTGGCTCCTGCGCCAAGAGTACATGACCTTGGGCAAATTCTTTAACCTATGTCTCAGTCTCCTCATCTGTAAAATGGGGATTAAAAACTTCCCAGCATCGTTGTGAGGTTAAACGGGAGAATATAGGGACAGCACTTACACGCAGTCTCGGCGTATGGAAAGTGCCTGATAAACATTACTACCATTACTATCATTGTCAATATCATCAATATCCTGGTAGGAAAAATAAAGGAGAAGGAATGAGCACACCTTTAGCTAGTGAGGGTTGGGAAGGAAGTCACATTAGAAGGGAGGGGTCAGAGCAGGCAAGTGTTTTTCTTATCAATCACCCAGGTCCCCAAGGGAGCTCTGATCACGGGTGAACAGAGAGACGTCACTGATCTAGAGGTCAAGTGCTGCGGGCCCAGGCATATGCAGGCAGGGGGATGGGGAGAGACAGAACCTGGGCGGCCTCCAGCAGCTGGGAGGGCCTCCCTCTCACTCCAACTCCACAGGCCTCCATGGGCCCGGGGAGGCCAGTGCCCACCTTAGGTACTCTCAGTGGTTGTTTTTACAAGTAACTCAGAGGCTTTCTACAAGTTTGCAATGGCAACCCATTAACAGAGAAGACAAAAGGCAGGGAGCCCCCCAGGCATCGAGGGAAGCTGCTTCGCCCCTTCTAGAGGCAGCCATGTTGTCCCTGTACCTGTCATCTGCCACAGCCTTTGTCCCCGAGGCCCAGGACGTCCCCCTCACATTCCACCAACGCTTGAAGGCCCTCCTCTTGCTCTTACCCGTGGCCAGGAAGCGATGAGCAGCCAGAAGGAGCTGAGGTGAAATTTTCACCTTGAGCTCGTTGTCAGCATCCTTAAAGGCTGAGAAGTCGCGTTTGTTCTTCTCAGATACCCGTTTCCGGCTTCGGTTGTCAGCTGCAAGAGAAACAATCTGGAACTGAGAACTCTGTCCCCCGAGGACTCAGGAACAGACTGGAACCCGCCAGCTCCCAGCTCTGTGGTCCCTTCTTCCAGGCAGAAGCAGCAGTATCCGGGTCAGGGCCAGGCCCCCAGGCTGACGCTGCAGCACCAAGGCCAGGAGGAACAAATGCAGCCTCCTCTCACCGCTCCGGGCAGTGTGCTCCCGCTCGCCCCGGCCAGTGCGAGGCACTGAGCTCCTGGGTCTCCAGGTGCCAGGCCTCCCACGTCCCTGCACTGTGGCCTTTCCACTTGGGGACAACACCAGATGTCAGGTCTGAGCAAGAAAGGGGGTCTGGGCCGGTGGAGGGGGAACTCACTGTACATGTCCGACTCGTCCAGGATCTCTGACTTGATGATCTCCTCAATGACGTCCTCCAGGGTGACCAGGCCCAGCACCTCGTAGAAGGGGTCACCTTCACCCTCGTTGTTCACCTTCTGCACGATGGCCAGGTGGGACTTCCCTGGGGGGACAACGTGACGAGTCAGACAAGAGCAAAGGGGCCAGTCATGAGACTCCTCCACCAAAATACTAATGCATTTGGGGCCATGAGTCATGGGGGTGGGGTCAGGGGTGGTTTTTTCCCTTTTCTGTATTTCCTGAAGTTTCTACTGCAAACAGATATTGCTTTTATGAAAAGGAAAACCAAAAGTATTTTTAATTTAAAGCCATTTATTGAGGACTATTTGTTTAAATAGAATGAAAATGGCAAGGTCCTGGCCGGTGCCCTATATTAGGGGCTCCTGGAATTCCTGGGGAGGGGAAAGACCCACACTGACAACCCATGGACAGCGGAGTCATCAGTCAGAGACATGTGTGTGCCAGCTGGACATGGGGCTCCCCAGGGGGCCCACAGTGCCCGCCCCCATGGGGGCCCACCCCTCAAGGGCCATTCACATCCCTCCCCCAGCTCTCCCCGGCAGAACTCCCCCGCATGTACCCAGGGGCCGTAATACTGCCCAAGGCAAAGGCTCTCATTCTCAAAGCCATTAACAAATTAGCCCAGGCCGTAATTAGGGCAGGCAAGTACTATAATTAGAGAAGGGCCACGGCTTCAACCTAAAGCAAGAGAAAGTTAGGAGGCAGAGGATGAGGAGGAAAGACCTTCCACAGAAGCTTTGTCGGGTGGTAGGGCTTCCCAGGCCCTCCTTCCGGGTTCCCACCCTGCTCTCGTGCCCCTTGCCCCAGTGCGTGACAACAGGGAGACAGCCAAGAAGGGCTTGGCCCATACTCTAGGTCAGAGGGAACTGTGTGCCCCACAGGCGGGGACACAGGTTTGGAGCAGCCTAAGGGAAAAAGCCCCGGGAGAGCTAAGGAGGTCCAGACAGGGTCTCCTGCACAGCTTCCCCTCCACAATCCCATCTCAGGGCCTCCGTCCAGGGACTTCTCTGTAGGAGATGTTTCCCAGGTCTCTAAGGCCACAGGAAATCTCCCAACCCCGGGGTGTGCTCTTCAGAACTCCGAGGGGCCTCCTAGGGAGAACAGAGAGACGCCAGTTCTCATGACCAGCATTTTAAAAAGTAGAATAAAGTAAAAAATATCAGAGTACACCACACGTGATGAGGTGGGGAATCCTGTTCTGTTAAACTTTTCACACATGTGCTGGTCACTATGATACACTTATTTCCAGCTACAAGTTTTGGTCAAAAAACTTTCAGCACCTTGCTAGACAGAACCATGGCTAGACTCGATTAAGAACTTCCCCGGATCTTCTAGAGATGAGCCAACAAGAGCAAGAGATCCGCCAAGGTCCTCCAGCAGGCGGCACCCTGGGGTCGGCCCGGGGCCTCTTCTCCTGCTGGAGGCTCCCACTCAGGAGCACCCTCCTGAGAGAGCAACAATGCTGCCAGGGCCTGGGGCAGCCAGCTAAACTATGTCATCAGACAGGAACCACAATTGAAGCAAGGGAGCTCTTACCCCCTTCCAGACAGACACGCTCCAAGAAGCCCGGTAAGCCGAGGGTTGGGGGAAGACAAGGGGGCGCTCACAGGTACTCTGGCTAGTGGGAAGGTAAATGGGCACATTTCAGGAGGCCAATCTGGCAGGGTGTCTCAACAGTAAGGGTCCCTATGCTTGGACTCAGAATTCCCACTTGTAGGAACTTATCCACAAAAGCAGAAAGGCACAAAAGCAAAAGGGTTCCATCAGAACACTGTTTTTAACAACCTCAAACCAGAAACAGCCTAAATCAATAGCGATGGAGCAGGAGTGCTGAACAGGCGCCACTGCTGCCCTGGGGAGAAGGCGGCAGGGCTGGTGGACGAAATGTGGAATGAAGCCCAAGACGGGCTGTTGGAAGAGCAAGTAATGGGACAGAACACATGGTGCCCCCGCCTGCGCAGAAACAAGGCGGGGCTTGAACTGCCCTGGAAATGTCTAGAAGCAGGAACAGTGGTCACCTTTGGGGGGTATCTGGAGTTTGGGGGAGGGGTCCTATTATCCCTTACTCTCTACCCTTCTACATGGTTCTATTTGATGGGATGTTTCACTGCTATAATTTTTTTTTGTGAGGAAGATCAACCCTCAGCTAACATCTGCCAATCCTCCTCTTTTTGCTGAGGAAGACTGGCCCTGGGCTAACATCCGTGCCCATCTTCCTCCACTTTATATGGGACGCCGCCACAGCATGGCCTGACAAGCGGTGCGTCGGTGCGCGCCCGGGATCCGAACCAGCGAACCCCGGGCCGCCGCAGCGGAGCACGCGCACCTAACCGCTTGCGCCACCAGGCCAGCCTCTATAATTTTTTTTCCAGTTTTTTTTTTTAATTATTTTATTGAGCTCATAATAGTCTATAACATTGTGAAATTCCAGGTGTACATTATTTGTCAGTCACCATATATGTGCCCCTTTACCCCTTATGCCCACCCCCCTAACCCCCTTCCCCTCTGGTAACCACTAATCTGTTCTCTGTGTCCACTGTTTCACTGCTATAATTTTTTTTAATTGAGAAAAAATTAAGGAGAACAAACAAAGGAAATTGGTGAGAGGCTGGGTTGAGCAAGGACCCTCTGTGTCTGAACTGCCATGGACTGAGCCCCAGGGAAGGGGGTGTGCCTCTGAAGGCAGCTCAGTTAGCAGCGCCTTGCTCACACCAGAAGGCAGACCCCTGCGGAGAAGAGACACAGCTTCCACAGTCTGAGAAAGTGTCCTCCCCCCACTGACACCTCCCAGTAACCCACCACTCAGAACAAATCCTGACCAGCAACCAGTCACGGGGGCACCGGGCCTCACAGTGAAAGGCTGGCGGCTTCTCTAAGGGACAGAAATATCCTTCCTGCAGATGAAATGAGCCGATTCCTTGAGCCCGATCTTGGGGCCACACTCAGCCCTCCAGCCTTCTCCCGAGGCTCCTCCGTCCGTGGAATCCACTGGTGCGTGTGGGTGCCCTCTTGTGGCAGCACCTTTGAGACAGGTACCTGGTAGGTGTGCAGACGTGGGGCCCCACCCACAGTCACCCTTGCTCTGCATACCAAGAGCGCGGTGCACTGGCGTTGATTATGGCTGGCCAGTGGGGCCCCACACAAAGGTGCTGGGCTGGAGGCCAGTCAGTCACCCTCTGCTGGCCCAGCCATGGGATCCTGGGCTGTGTCTGCTTTTTTCTAATTTGTCTGCCCAGAGGGGACATTTTTTTGTCTTAGCAGAATCTTTCCCTCCCCTGGCCAGAGAACCTCTCTTGCCACGGTGACCTCCAATGGTGGGGTCTCATGCTCAGGCTGCAGCCTTTGACCAGGGGTCACTCTCTCCCTCCTCCTGGAAACCCTTCCTCCCCTTGGCTTCCACGACACCGCTCTCCTGGTGTTCCTCTGAGCTCAGGGGCTGCTCCTTCTGTCTGACCTCTTAATGCGGGAGGGTTCCAGGGCTCAGTCCTTGCCTCGTGACTTTAAATACAAACTATATGTCAAGGCGTCTCAAACAGACATTTGCAGCCCAGCCCTCCCCTGTGCCCTCCAGACTCATATATCCAACTGCTGGCTGACAGCTGGCTCCCCATGGATGTGTACATCTTGAACTTAACTCCGCCAAAACCAAGCTCCTGCCCTTCCCGCCAGCTTCCCCAGCTCGTCTATCCAGTTGATCAGGCCATGGGGGAGCAAACTTTGCCTCCTCTATTTCTCTACCCTTCTACATCCAACCCTTTCAGCACATCCCGTCAGCTCTGCCTGCAACAGACACCCAGAATCCAAGCTCTTCTGGCAGTCTCCACTGCGACTGTCCTGTTCTGGGCCACGTGCATCTTTCTCACCCGGGGGGCTGGAATAACCTCTAACCATCTCCCTGCTTCATCCTGGACCGAGTCTACTCCCAACACAGCACAAGGGGGACCCTCTTGTGACAACAGAAGCCAGGTTGCCTCATACCTCACCCAAATCCCTCTAGTGGCTCCTGTCTCACTTCCAGTAAAAGCCACATTCCTCACAGCGGCCCGGGTCCCAAAGCCCTTCGTGCTGACCCCCTCACCCCGGCTCCTCTCCCTCTCCCTCCTCCCTCTCTCCCTCTCTCCCTCCCTCTCGTGCTCTAGTCAGCCACACAGCCTCCTTGCTGCTCCTCAAACCCCTGAGGCTGCTCCCTTTACCTGGCCTGCTCCTCCCCCCAGATCTGCAGAGCTGCTCCCACCTTTAGGTCTTTGTTCAAACGTCATTCTCTCGGTGAGGCCTACCATGACGGCCTCACCAAAAACTGCAACCCCTCCTCCAGCCCCCCAACCTCGGTCACTAGTTTATCACCTAAAATAAACAATATAATATGCTTATTCACCATATTTATCCTTTATGGCCTGTTTTCTCCCACTAGACTGCGAACTCCATTAAGGCAGGGCCTTTATTCAGTCTGTGTTCCCAAAACTCAGGTCAGTGAGTGGCACACACACACTCAGCAAGTGTTCAACGAATATCTGTGGAATGAATGACTCAGTTCACCCGGACGTTCCTTAGGAGAAACGTAACCAATAGGGGGAGGGGGAAACGGATAGAGACTAGAGAAATAATAATTTTGAATTTTAGTAATTAAGAAGTTTCCGTGGGCCGGCCCTGTGGCTTAGCGGTTAAGTGCGCGCGCTCCGCTGCTGGCTGCCGGAGTTTGGATCCCGGGCGCGCACTGACGCACCACTTCTCCGGCCATGCTGAGGCCGCATCCCATATACAGCAACTAGAAGGATGTGCAACTATGACATACAGCTATCTACTGGGGCTTTGGGGGAAAAATAAATAAATAAAATTAAAAAAAAAAAAAGAAGTTTCTGTAATTCAGAAATTACTGTTAGGAGATTTACCGTTTAAAATAAGAGGATCAGGGCCGGCCCCGTGGCTTAGCGCTTAAGTGTGCGCGCTCCGCTACTGGCGGCCCGGGTTCGGATCCCGGGCGCGCACCGAGGCACCGCTTGTCCGGCCATGCTGAGGCCGCGTCCCACATACAGCAACTAGAAGGATGTGCACTATGACATACAACTGTCTACTGGGGCTTTG